CCAAGTAGAGTGCAACAAGATAGTACTAAGTAGAGTGCAATAACATAGTACCAAGTAGAGTGCAATAAGATAGTACCAAGTAGAGTGCAACGAGATAGTAACAAAATAGTACAAGACCCATGGACTTAAAACGATATTATTGGCAAGAAAATATTTTTTTTCTGAAACTAATTAACAAGGATACAGTGAAAAGATAGATAGTGTTATAAAAGTATTAAAGTTGTAATTTGTAATAGTATATTTTTCAATTGAAATTCTATAAATAAATATTATTTATTTATGCGAAGTATAAATTATTGTATTTTAGTAACCCATGTGAAATCTTCATCAGCCCTAACAGTCCACTGCTAGACTTGTGCTGTTTTTTATACAGCTATGAATTATAATCGACACGTTTGGTAGACGGCCTCGTGATCGCAATACGTATGTGGAAGCGCTGTCATCGCGCCACTATAGCGTATACGACGGACCGAACAACTGAAGCCTGAATCACGTTAACGACGCTGAGACTTCTAACTCTCCATTGGGAAAGAACGTTTCTCGAGTGGAAGCCTCGTACCGGTAAGTGACCTTTTTAGGGAGGCCCGCCACTAGATGAAAGTAACGACCCGGTAAAAGATGCAGGAACTCGTTGAATGCAGGTGGCTCAGGATCGTGCATTGTAGCATTCCTTGCATACATTCAACAGTGGACTGGACGTATGGGTGATGGGTTGAAGTGATGATGATGATGTTGAATGCCATTGCCACAAAACATACTTCTTGATGTCGGCGCCGTTTAAGAATCCCTCACCACATTTCGTATTCGTGGGTATCGTAAGAGGCGACTATAGGAATCCTCAGAAAGATGTCATGGTTTCCAATGGATTAGTTTGAAGCATTCTTAAGCAAACCTTAGTGGATTCAAAACTTTAGAGAATCGGATACCTATTTTACTGGAAAAGAGGCATTCATCTTAGTCCTCACAGCTGACAACGCATCTGCATTTTAATTCGCAATATATGATAGATGTAGATGTCTATGTGCCACAGCAACCACTTACAATCTGTGTGCTCGTTTGATACCCTAATTCTATAAAAAAAAAAACTAACTGACGACACGCTCGTTAGCCTAGTGGTAGTAAGTAGGTACGACTACTGTTCATGTGGTCCCGGGTTGGGCGAAAATCAGTTATTTTTCTGTTAAGAAATATTTAATAGCAGCCCAGAGTCAGGAAATTGGCTACCGTGTATTGGAAAGCGCGTAAAGCCGTTAGTCCTGCGCCTCCGGTTGTGTGTGATTGCCTTACAATCGGACTATGAGAATGAGGAAATGATGGTACGATATGAGGAGAGGGCATCTTTGCTTGCGCATATACACGTGCACCTTCTTGTCCTGCGCAGATGGCTAGTCTCCGTTAAGACTGGCCGCCGTGACCGAGTTTCCGTCAGGACATTATAAGATAAGTGATATAAATCAAAGATGGTAAACGTGAATCACATAGAAAATAACAATGTACACCATGTTCAATTATTTTATTTCAATAAATAAAGCATGACCAGTTTGAAATAACACGCAATCAAGGACGCTACACACAGTGAAATTACCGTAATCATTTTTACAAATTATTACTCATTCAAATAAAAACTGAAGCATAAAACTTAATAAAAGTTCAAATAAGGAATGTGTCTTAAGGGCGATATCTTTTGTAATTTTAGGATATATGCTTAAGTATTAAATAATCAACTTAAACAATTTTCGAAATTTAAACATGAATGGTTTATTTAATATAAGTTTTAACTCATTAAACCCAACATTAAGAGAACTGATTTTAATTTCGAGGGTATGTGAACCATACTAACTAATAAGTCTGGCGTATATGTGGTTCGATAAGGACTCATGTGTAGTTAATAACATTCATAGGATTTTCATTCCATTTCTCTGTAGAAAATTTATTGAATTAATAAAACACAAATTTACATCTATATTAAATTATAAAAACATAAAAATTTTCATCAATCAGTAATATATTATATATCCATCACTTATTTTTATAGCAGTCGTTTCATGTAATAAATATTTACATTTTATAGTATATCCCACAAAGTAAAACATATTTTTTTTTCTCAAAAGTACGTAACATTACCCGGTCGTAATTATAACAAATTGAACTTAAAACAGAGGCCGTTAATAATTGGCCGTGATCCCTATCGCCACAATAGAGAGTACAGTATATAAGCTAGACTAATCACGCTATTTGTAATTGAATAATAACATCTTTATTATATTTTTATACAGTTTTAACAATTTTATATTATTTATTTTAAGGTGAATGCGACATAACTGTGTAAGTTCGTAACAAAATTTCATACAAACATTGTATACAACAAAAAGAGTAGATACGGTACTTGGCCGCAAAAACTGAATCAAGAAAACTACGTCTAATTGACTTATTATTTTGTTGCGGTCGGTGCATCGATCACTAATAAAAAACTAGATACACAATCCCATGCAAAAGTTCTCTAAAAACTGTCGCCAATTGTTTTGACGTAATTCTATTCGAAATAAATATACATTAATATAAATTCAACCTTAAATGCATTTCCTAAAGTTGTATTCACAAAGCTACGTAAAAATTAAAAGCACACATAATGTTCGAGTGGGCGCTCATTCGGTAAGGACATTTTTAAAGTTGGTCGGTTTTAGAGAACTCTTGCATGGAGTTGTGTATCTAGTTTTTTATTAGTGATCGATGGGTCGGTGTTACCGTTTGGAGCGTGCTTCCGGCGTCATATAGGCATCTCGCTCGCACTACGGTCAAAGTATTTCTTGTTTCTGTTTTCTTATTCTGTATGGATCGTAGTGCACGAAGTAGTTTCAATTATATAACGTTAGTACCATATTTTCTTTTTGTTTATACCAATGCATATGAATGTGAATGAGACAACGCTCGATGGAAGCCGAATTTATTTTCTCTTTTGTCGCTTTAAGGCCTGATGGTTAAATATATAAAATGTATACAATTTTTAACAATATCTGTCGTAGTAAATTATGTGGATGGTTGGGTAACACCGAACTTTAATCCATCTTCATAGAACATACTATAAAATTGTATACATATAATATAAATCAGTGATACGCATAACCTCACTCAAATATCAACAGTGCAAGAACAATATTTATATGAAAGATAATATTTGGAAATGTACTCGTAGCAAATATTATAGTAACAACCATTATGCGTCTACAATAACTTTTAGTATTTTCATTATTCATTTATCTGGGATGAAATTTAACTATGTTCAATATTATGTAAATTTTTAACAATGAATTACTGTATTACAATTTTAAAGCCGAAATTACAAAAGTAATAATACTGAAGTAATTGACTTTTCATCCCAGGACTTGACTATATCACAAAACTTTCAACATCAAATCATTTAAATCTCACAAATATTTACAGTAAAGATGTATTTTTTTATTATTGTTGTTGTTTTTATCAGTTGACGGCCACGCTACGGAAATGTCTTTTGACACATTATAGTAAAAATTTTTAACACGTTAAATGTGCGATTATGACCACAGTCAGCATGTGTAAGGCGTGCCAATAAAGAAACGACATAATAATGGCGAAAAAAAAATGATTGTACAGTCAGCAAAAATTGTAATAAGTAGTATAAAATATTTTTATCGGTAACCTATTATTATTAGTTACCGTTTCTTCAGTAATAAAGTTACAGGTTAGTTGTGTGTTACTGTCGGAAAGTATAAACCTCTTCTAATTTCTGAGAGGGTTTCAAATTCTAAAGGATCTTTTGTAATAAAATATAATTCTACAGGAACGAAGTAATGACAGTAACCGGTTCATGTAGGGAACAAAAAGAAAAAGCTAATCTAGACTGTATATTTTTTTCGTTCAGTCCTGTATTGTGTGAGCGAGATAGCAAATGAGCGGACGCAATTCAACCGTTTCTTAATTAACGCGGCTTATACATCTAAATGCAGAGAAATTTCATGGGTTTAGCAGTTTTCTAGTGATGTTACAATTTTTTTGTCTGCAAGATGTGCGGGTACTTACATATTTTAAATTAAATAACAAAAGAAAAATAGCAGTGGTACAAAAAAAATTTTTAGTTTATACAATAAGTGGCTTTCCTACAATAAAAGCAGGCCAAAATAATGTCATTAATCAATATGCCAAAAAATCAGTTAAAATACAAAAAAATATTTAGCTTGAACAATAATAATGTCCAAAATATATACATAAAGAAATGAAAGCAAGCCGACTATTAATTTAATTGTAAAATATATCATAAGCAGTACCATTTCATTTCATATCCTATTACGCTACTTACAATGTAATATAATTTAGCACAGATAAAACTATCCCCGTCCGAGGCAGCTGCTTTGATTGATCAAAGGTACATTAATGTAATAATTTGTGCAAATCACAAGTCTATTGTAGTGTCATCCTTACATATTCTTTAATGAACAAGAAAAATACGGTAATACGGACTGGTAAAATAAATTTATCGATTTTAATTATATTTTCTACTGAAATAATCCTTTGTAATTTATACCTATATTATGGTTTTTTATAGATAAAAGTTTTGGAAATTGCTGATATTGTTTTTACAAACAATAATAAATAACAAAATAAAAAAATTTTGATAAACAAATTTTAATAATCTAACGAAAAAATGCGTTATAAACCAGCTAAATTAACTTTAAAACCGTTGTTTGGGATCATATATAGATGTCACTGCTAACTCTATGTTGCCATACCATACTAAATGAGCAAATATTTTTATAGTAACATTTCCTCCAACAAAAGCAGCCGTATCGGGCGGGCGACATAATTTAGGCGCGCTCTTAGAAACGCTCCATCACAAGAGCGGGGACTTGCCGTGCACTCGCGTATGTACATAACATCATATGTTAACATCTCGTATCGTTATAACACTTATCACATATTGAGATTTTAAACGTCCGTGCTCGAAACAGCAGCGCCGCGGTGTGGTGTTAAACTGAATCGTCTGCGGAATTGATAGACAGGATTTAGTTCACATAATGTTCAGCAAAGCGGCCGATAATACCGGCTTTGGTTATTAAAATTCATGTAATTATTATTACTAATCATTGTCCAGTGGTCGAAATTCGACCGTGATTCATTAAATTTTCATGTTTTTATATTAAGCAAGCTGTATTTTACTTTCAACTCTCAGTATATACATGTATTACCTATGCTTTCAACTGCATATTAATATATAAAACACATATCTAACATATAAAATACAAAATAAACCCTTTTATAAAATATAATTTATACTTGCGATTGTTGTGACTTGCTGAAACTTCAGCTTCATTTTTGTGATTTTTGGGGAAAACAAAACCCTTTTTTGAATTATACGTTGAAGTCCACAGACTATTGAAAAAAGAATATTAAAATTCGCACAAAATTCACAGAACATTCGGTCAAGCTGTCAGTAATTATTTTATTGGCAACATTTTTACATTTTTTAGCGACAATCTGTACTCTGTACGACTGTTTGACCATGGTGAGACTATTGTGTTTGATAATTGACATTATCAGTATGAACGTAAGCAATTAATGTTTTATGTTATTTTATTTAAGGTATTTCTAATACATATATACACTGAGTGAAATACAGCTAATTTCGACCTCTGGACGACCACTTATTAATAGCTGAAAGAACCGACAACCGATTTGAAAGAAAAGTTGTCGAGTGGCAACCTCGTATCGGTAATCGAATATCGGCCTCCTCACTAGATGCGAGTCGATGGATGGAGACGGCTCAGGGCCATGCTTTGTAGCATTCCTTGGGGGTGGCCTATGTTTAGCAGTGGACTTGTGAAGGGATGTAATGATGATGATGATGATGATGATAGTTTTATTATAAATTAGTAGTGTTATTAGTGTAGTAAGGATTTGTTAAAGTATACACACGCCTTGAACACCAGTGGTCGAGATAGTGAAACGAATGAACTACCCGTATAAAATCCTCTACTGATTAGATTGTACATACAATAGATAAGCTAACCCAAGCTCACATGTATATAAGTAGGCTGAGGCAAGTATGTTAAAAAACAAATGTCTAACATACGTGAAACAAATGATCGAGAATATTTTCATATTTTAATTTATTAATATTTATTAAGTTGTACGGGGCACCCATGAGCACCGGGAGACTTACTCTCACTCAAGCACATGTATGGGTCTAACGTGATTATCTTTCAAAATAAAAATTAATTTCAATTAAAAAGTAAAGCTTGATGTGACCCATGACATCTCAAGAGAATAAACGTTCGCATTAAACAACCCTTGTTCGATGCCCATCGACACCAATCAATCAATCATTATCATCATCAATCAATAAAAGTCCACTTGTGGACATGAAACTCTCCGCCTTTATCGTCACGCTTGGCAGGTTTATTGACGATCGCAGCAGGAGACCATGACGTACTTTACGTTTGGCTTTAATGAGACAGTTATACCTCCAGCGCCATCTATAGGAAACTACAATCTCAATCTTTGTAATATATCCAAAAAAAAAAATTTCATTCGCTTCTTACGACACCCACGGGTCGAAATGAGATTTTTGGATTCCTTTAAGTCACCATTAGACGGTTACTAATCAATTTATTAAATTCAAATTTAAGCACTAAATTCACCACAGAAATAGTTTCGAAGACATTTAATGTTCTTAGAAATAAGAGGACAACAATTCCCAACAATAGGACGCATGTCTCTTACCATATTATATTTTATTTGATTAAAATGTAATATTAATGAACTTTTTTTTAAATAGAATAACGGTGACAAACGAACACACAGTCCACCTGATGGTAAGTGGATGCTGTGGCCCATAGACATCTACATTTATCGTCAGTTAAGAGAAAAAATGCAAATACGTTGTCACCCCTGAGGACTGAGATGGAATGCCTCGTTTACAGTAAAAAGGGTCTCCGATTCTCTACTCACACTCACCATACAAAACACAGCAGCATTAAGTTGCTATTTTACGCTGGTATTCTGTGAGGGAGTGTCCCACCCCGGACGAGCCGATCCATTCGTGCTGCAACCACAATATAACTGCAGCATGGCTCTACCACGTAAATAACCAGATAATAAAAAATAATTTTACGTACCATGATACCACCATTTTGTTTTCTTAGGATTTTTATTGCAGGTCTTAACGTAAAACGAATTGTCCGACGGTCTCTTCTGCAAAGGAAAGTCAAAAAAGGATTTAAAAATTAAATGAAACCAATAATTCGATGAATTTTTATGACGATTAATTGTTACTTGTACATTGTATTATGACTGCAGAACTACTGGATCGGCACATACGAATGGTACAAGCACTTATAGAATACCCGCGTAAAAATCAGCATAATGTCGCTGTGTTTTATATGGTGACTAGCTGTTCCCCGCGACTTCGCCCGATGATTTGACAAATATTGACATTAATATTTATACGATAACCACCATTTTGTTTTCTTAGGATTTTTATTGCAGGTCTTAACGTAAAACTAATTGTCCGACGGTCTCTTCTGCAAAGGAAAGTCAAAAAGGATTTAAAAATTAAATGAAACCAATAATTCGATGAATTTTTATGATGATTAATTGTTACTTGTACATTGTATTATGACTGCAGAACTACTGGATCGGCACATACGAATGGTACAAGCACTTACAGAATACCCGCGTAAAAATCAGCATAATGTCGCTGTGTTTTATATGGTGACTAGCTGTTCCCCACGACTTCGCCCGCGTGGAATGATTTGACAAATATTGACATTAATATTTATACGATACTAAAGTCACTCAATTTTTTTGCCTTCCCGGAACACTTCCACTAACACTTAAAAACTTTATTGTATGGTATTAAAGTTCAAGTTGACTTTTAAGTATTATTACGAATCTTGTGTATGGGAATATAGAAGTGTTGTTTTTAGAATTTTTCGGGCAATTTTTTTTAATTTTTCTCTCCGTAAGAACCATCTTCGTACTTCAAGGAATATTATAAAAAAAGAATCAGCGAAATCGGTTCAGCTGCTCTCGAGATTTGCGCTTAGTAACACATTCAGCGATTCATTTTTATATTATAGATAACTGAAAATTAGTTATAGTAATTACTTTTTTCCTGGAAAACTCATTATTCTTCTAATTTAAACCTTTTTTCTACCGACTTAAAAAAGGAGGAGGTACTCAATTCGACTGTATGATTTTTTATGTGTGTTACCTCATAACTTGGTTCTACGTGAACCGATTTCGATGATTCTTTGTTTTTATTTGAAAGCTGGTGCTTCTCATGTGGTCCTATATAAATTTGATCAAGGTCTGACTAATGGTTTTTGAGTTATCCTTAATAATATATATTGAAGTCGGTTGTACAAATTTTATAATTTTAAATTATTATAATGCCAAATATAGTAAGAATGCTAAAATGTACTAAAACACAATGGGAAGGCCGCATAGATTTAGGTTGTATAGTACTCAAAACGGTAAGTGTCAAAATCTACCAAAAACACAAGGAAGTTTTAAATTAGACGTAAAGTACGCATCTACATTTAAATTAGATATGGGTTCTCCTATAGAGCAAAGTATCCACTACACATTATCCAAAGTGTCATCGTGCACCGTCTGCTAGTTTCTCAGCTATTTAACTAACTAACTGGATAGGCCGACGTCCATATTGATACTGAGGTCTGACATTTCATCATCCATTTGAGAATTGTTTTTCTACCATTTTTTTGGTTAACTACAGCGAAGTGTGATGAACGGTACGGCAGCGTACCGTTCATCAGATTGCGGTGAAACTTTGTCTATATTAATCTATTGCTTGCACTTGCAAGGTTATAGGCTTAGTAGCAGCAGTAGTAGTTTATTAGTTAATGATTTCTTATATTTACGCGAACACTACACATTGAATAAAACTATTTTTACGGATTTTATCGCGTTTAATTAACTTATTTTATATTCCCGACGTTTCGGTTGCTTTCCAGCAACCGTGGTCACGGGGGACTGAGGTGATTGACGTCCCGATGTCAAAGTTAACCCGGAGTACCTTCAGCTTTTTAATTATTAATTTTGGTCCGATCTACGCAGAATGAACTAACTGTGTCTTGAAGTCTTACAGTGGTATGCTTGGGTTTAGTTTTAATTTTATGAATTACAGGATCCCAAGTAGGTGGTAGTACCCAGCCTCCCTCTCTATTGAAATTAGGATGTTTTTTAATTTCAATAGCCTCACGTATTATCCTTGGCAGGAATCGATGTTCTTTCGCGAGGACTTGTGGTTTATCAAATCTAATGTAATGACGGGGGCCGTCTAGGATATGATCACAAACTGCAGACTTCCCGGAACGTTGGTGCTTCACGTCAGCTATGTGTTCTTTTACGCGGGTTTTTATTGATCGTTTTGTTTGCCCTATATATGAGAGACCACACTCACAATCAAGCTTGTATACTCCTGCATCTTGTAGAGGAATATTGCACTTGACGGATGGTAAGAACTGACTAATCTTCTTCGGCGGCTTGAAGAATGTTCTAATAGAAGCTCGCTTCAAGATGTAGCCAATCTTGTCTGTGACACCTCTGACATATGGTAGTACAGCAGGCACACGCTCGACTGTGGCCGGCTTCACTCGGTCACTGTGACGTAGGCGCGGAACCCGAAGCTTGTTGTCGTGCAGAACCTGCTTGACGTGCTGAAGCTCGGCGGCCAGGTGTTTGCTGTCACAGATCCCTCGTGCTCTCTGCAACAAAGATTTGCCCACGGTAGCTAACTGTGAAGGGTGATGGTGGGATTCACCGTTTAAGTATCGGTTTGTATGGGTCTTTTTTCTATACAAAGTGTGACCTACGTATTTTACCATCAGACAAAGTAACTGCATTTTTAGAACATCTTAATTCAATAAACTCTAAAATTCAATTTACTATGGAGTTAGAGGCAAATAATTCTTTAGCTTTCCTAGATGTGTTAGTCATTCGAAATCCTAATAACACCGTAGGTCACACTGTGTATAGAAAAAAGACCCATACAAACCGATACTTAAACGGTGAATCCCACCATCACCCTTCACAGTTAGCTACCGTGGGCAAATCTTTGTTGCAGAGAGCACGAGGGATCTGTGACAGCAAACACCTGGCCGCCGAGCTTCAGCACGTCAAGCAGGTTCTGCACGACAACAAGCTTCGGGTTCCGCGCCTACGTCACAGTGACCGAGTGAAGCCGGCCACAGTCGAGCGTGTGCCTGCTGTACTACCATATGTCAGAGGTGTCACAGACAAGATTGGCTACATCTTGAAGCGAGCTTCTATTAGAACATTCTTCAAGCCGCCGAAGAAGATTAGTCAGTTCTTACCATCCGTCAAGTGCAATATTCCTCTACAAGATGCAGGAGTATACAAGCTTGATTGTGAGTGTGGTCTCTCATATATAGGGCAAACAAAACGATCAATAAAAACCCGCGTAAAAGAACACATAGCTGACGTGAAGCACCAACGTTCCGGGAAGTCTGCAGTTTGTGATCATATCCTAGACGGCCCCCGTCATTACATTAGATTTGATAAACCACAAGTCCTCGCGAAAGAACATCGATTCCTGCCAAGGATAATACGTGAGGCTATTGAAATTAAAAAACATCCTAATTTCAATAGAGAGGGAGGCTGGGTACTACCACCTACTTGGGATCCTGTAATTCATAAAATTAAAACTAAACCCAAGCATACCACTGTAAGACTTCAAGACACAGTTAGTTCATTCTGCGTAGATCGGACCAAAATTAATAATTAAAAAGCTGAAGGTACTCCGGGTTAACTTTGACATCGGGACGTCAATCACCTCAGTCCCCCGTGACCACGGTTGCTGGAAAGCAACCGAAACGTCGGGAATATAAAATAAGTTAATTAAACGCGATAAAATCCGTAAAAATAGTTTATTAGTTATTTGATTTTGTTTGACATTTATTTGACTTAAAAACTTGACGCTAAAATATTTTTTAAATAGCCAGCTGGGATAAATCAAATAAATAAATGCAGACATGAAATAAATTTTCTGATCATGCTATTTTAACAATTTATATTCTTATTATCTCTTTATTATTTCATAAAATTGTAATAATAATATTAGTTTAGTAACTATTATACTTAAGATATTGCACTCAATTATCATCGTAGCATGTAAGGTCTCATTAATAGCTAATAAGATACGAGACTACGTACTATACGAGACTACGTACTATACGAGACTACGTACTATACGAGACTACGTATTATACGAGACTACGTACTATACGAGACTACGTACTATACGAGACTACGTACTATACGAGGCTACGTACTATACGAGACTACGTACTATACGAGACTACGTACTATACGAGACTACGTACTATACGAGACTACGTACTATACGAGACTACGTATTATACGAGACTACGTACTATACGAGACTACGTACTATACGAGACTACGTACTATACGAGACAACGTACTATACGAGACTACGTACTATACGAGACTAAGTACTATAAGAGACGCTGAGACTTTGTGGACTAACTTAGTCTGTGCCAAAAAAAGGTATTCTGTGCCTCCTTTCCTTCCACGCATCTCGCACTGTCGTACAGATTTCGTACGCGGTGTCTGTTCTAGTACGTAGTAGGCACATATTACTTAAATTCCTGCACTCACCTTTTCTTTACAGCTACTGAGCATGGAGACGATGGAGAGGCAGACGGACTGCACCGAGAGCGCCGGCGACCAGTCGTCCGTCAGTATGGAAAGGCAGATGTGGCCGTTCGAGTACACGTGCGGGTGAACGGGAATGTTGTTGCCCACGAACGTTACCTGCCGAGATGATTTGTGGTATTATGAATATGAGAATATTTTGACAGGCTTCAAAAAGTTGGAGGTTCTCAATTCGAGTGTATGTTTTTTTTGTATGATGTATGTTACGCGATATCCTCGCAGATTGTGAACAGATTTTTTATTAAATAGGCTTTACCTTAAGGATTAAATTTTGAAGAAAAAATTCCGGCCCCAAGGGTAAAAAATACGGGAAAAAATTTCATATTGGATTAAGGAATTTCATACGATATTTTCGCAGATTAAGAACCGATTTGAATGAGTCTTTTTTTTATTAAATAGGTTATCCTTCAAGGGTGGCTCCATATAAATTAAAATATATAAAACATAAAAAAATAACTTCTATTTTAGCAATTTTAAATCAGATTTTAGTTTTTATATGTTGTAGAAGTCGAATCCACAGCGTTCGAAATTAATTCATGTGACAATGTATACACGCTTTTATAACAAAATCATAGAAAATTACGAAGTTCTTATAAAAAGAGTTATTATAATGTTAATGAATACACGGTAGACAATAAATAATTATTAATAATCCCTGTTAATGAGGTAATAACGTCTAAGCACGCAGTTTCTAAAATATATTTTACAACTAATTAATTGTAAGAATAATACTTTGAATAAACGCTGGGTTTCTTGCTAGGTCTTCCAAGGTTAGTGGGTCAGTGGTTTTTGTCGAACCAAACAACCAAAAACGACATACTTCTGAAGTCGGTGATAAGTCACAAGACATAGTATATCGATGTACAAAAGCACCGACGAAATAAATGTATTCTTTTTGGTTTTTGAAAAAGGTTTTTTTTTTAAAAACTATTTTTATTCTGAATTGTAATCCTGCGGACTAAGATGCATCCGTACCAGTAAAGCGTTTCCGATATTTCTTGCGTATTTTGAAAACTTTTCGCTCGGGTTTATCTGGATTAACAAATCATTGCTTTATCAAAATCCAACCGATGTTTATCGCTATTTTATGTAATATATTATCAGTAGTTTATGTATAATAATAGAAACCTCTCAATCAATCGAAGTATCTTGAAAGGAAAATTATATATTATATAAGTTTTACGTAGTATAGCCATGCTGCGGGTATATTATAGTTGTACCATGAAGATTATTCTATATAATTAAAAATGTTGTACAACCGACTTCAATATAAATTATTAAGAATAACTCAAAAACTATTGGCCAGACCTTGATCAAATTTATATGGGACCACATGTGAAGCACCAGCTTTCAAATAAAAAAAGAATCATCGAAATCGGTTCACCCAGTAAATAAGTTATGAGGTAACACACATAAAATAAAACATACAGTCGAATTGAGTACCGGCTCCTTTTTGAAGTCGGTAGAAAATAAAAAAGGTGTGCAATTCTTTAGCGATAGAAGTGAAACCTTCAGATAAGGAGAACGAGATAACAGGAAACACCGTATACTGTATTCTATCTCATTTTCTCGCAGGCTATATATGTATATGTTTCTATTTTCTATCGACTTTCAAAAAGGAGACGGTACTCAATTCGACTGTATGTTTTTTTTTTATGTGTGTTACCTCATAACTTTTTACTGGGTGGACCGATTTGGATGTTTCTTTTTTATATGAAAGCTGTTACTTCTCGTGTGGTCCAATATGAATTTAATCAAGGTCAGACCAGTAGCTTTTGAGTTATTCTTAATAAATAATAACTGATATTGAAGTCGGCTGTACAAAGATTTTAATTTTAAATTATTTAGTGTCGCTTTTTCGTTTCATCGAATTTCAAGTCACAACAATTCTAAAGAAGTTATTATTAAAAAACAAATACACGCTGACAGCAATAAACCCTACACCTAAATCAAGCAATAAACCTATCAAATCTTTAATTAACGCTACATATCAAAATGGTGGTCACATCTAGCCTATTTATAGCGTAGTTAATTACAGTTGTATAATCTAGACAGATGACAATAGCAACGTATACTTGTCACTGTCGATTAAGATCATTCCGTACGTGCCGTGTACAGGAATAGGTCCGTACACGTTCGCGTCATGACTTCGCAAGACGGTGATAATTGATACGCGACTTCAAGATACAGCCAGGTCACTTTTTAAATGAATAATAATAATAACTGAAAATAGTTAAAATAAATAAACGATAAAACCAGTAAAGGTTGTGACAATAGCATCTCAGTCAATGATTCCGTAAGCTTAAATAATTGAAATGGCTCTCACGAAATACCAGCGTGAAATGTGAGCTGCAGTGTTTCGTATGGTGAGTGTAAAGAGAACCAGATACCTATTTTGCTGAAAACGAGGCATTTCGTCCTTAGTACTCTGGAGTGACAACGCATTCGTTTCGATTCTTAATCGATAATAGATGTAGATGTCTATGGGTCACATCATTCACTTACACCATCAGGTGGACTATGTGTTCGATTGTCAACCTTATACTTAATGTAAAAAAATACATATTAAGTATATTATATACTCCAATAATTGTCATTGTTTAAAATTTATATAGTTTTTTTTAGGGATACTGTTTCGCTTCGTTTGATGATGGCTGCCGTACTTAATTCTCCAAATCCATATAAAATTAATATCCGTCGCGTAGCCATTTAAAAGTGCCTCAAAAGGGGAATATTTGCCATTGCGTTGCTTGGCAGGCGGGTTGGCAAGCGCATTTTTTCATTTTCTAGCTGTTATTACGAAGGCGCTGCTTCTCATCTTCTTGGTTTGTTTCCCTCCGTCGCCTCTTACGATTCCCACGGAACGATATGAGGTAATAGATATTGTAACAAAGCTATAGTGTTTCCAAGAGAAACATTATTTTCTGGTATTCTCTCACGTTGTCTATGGAAAATGTATGCCCCTAAATAGAAAAATAATTGACTTTATTGTCTATTCACAATACTGTGTTAGTCCCTACTTTAATGTATGGTAGTGAAAGTCGGGTGAGGCAGAGGAAGCTGTGTGAGTAGAATAAATGCTGTAGAAATGCGGTCATTATTGAGTATGGTAGGGCTTAATCTAATGATTTCTTATATTTACGCGAAGACTACACATTGAATGAAACTAATTTTTACGGATTTTATCGCGTTTAATTTTAACTTTTTAATTCCCGACGTTTACGTAACTTTTTAATTCCCCCGTGACCACGGATGCTGTAATCTACATCTACACTACTATTATAAAGAGGAAAGATTTGTTTGTTTGTTTGTTTGAATTGAATAGGCTCCGAAACTACTGGAACGATTTGAAAAATTCTTTCACCATTAGAATCCTACATTATCCCTGATGAACATACGCTATATAATATTTTCAAAAAAGTTAGGGATCCGTATGAAAAATTCGTTAATGTAACCCAAGGTGTGAAAAAAATACCAAAAAGAATCCTTATATCGCGTACGCTGCGGAAGCTATTGATAATAGAGCAAAGTAATGTGCTTCAGTTTTATAGAGGATATCAATATCTACAAAAAAGTCTGGGATACCATATGTTTAACTATTACAGTTATGTCACAATAATTACTTTTTCATGTTAAAATGTGAAAAAGTAACGCCGGTACAAACTAGGCCACATTATTCGTATCAGTACCTGTATCATGCATAACCACGAATTACGTTAACCATGTAATTTTAGTAACATATTTCACTTTTTAAATCATTGTTAATTCAGCAACCGTCCGTCGTGATGTCTCTTTCGAAGTTCGCATGTCGTAAGGCGCAAACGCGTGATATACGCGGGTGAAACCGCGGGGCACAGCTAGACGCTTAAAAAGTTAGTAGTAGTAGTTTAGTCTGTGTGCTCGTTTGTCACCCGATCCTATAAAAAAAAATCCTGCAGATAAATACAGGTGGTCGCTGAAAAAATTTATTATTTTAATACCGATTCAATTTGCCTCGTTTCTTTTTAAGCTTTATATGACATTTTATCCAAATTCTTCGACTTTTAGTAAATGCTGATGCAACACGTGTATCAAAATCGAAATCTGAATCCAATTCTGACGAGCTGTCTGTCTAGCAAGTCTAGAAGCAATATACGCCAACTCATTCTAGGTAACACTCTGTATAAACAGTCCGCCCCAAAAAACACGTCTTGTAAGTTTGAAGGATTTAGTTTTTTTTTTATAGGAGAGGGGGCAAACGAGCATGCGGCTCACCTGATGGTAAGTGACTACCGCCGCCCATGAACAACTGCAACACCAGGGAGGGAATTGCAGATGCGTTGTCGGCCTTTTAAAAAGGAGTACGCTCTTTTCTTGAAGGTCCCTAAGTCTTATCGGTCCGGAAAAATCGCTGATGGTAATCGATTCCACAAGGAAGTCGTGCGAGGAAGAAAACATCTTCTAAATCGCACAGTGGTGGACCGCCAATCATCCAGATGGTGTGGATGGTATCGGGAGTTCTGCCGCGATGTGCGTTCGTGAAATTTGGCGGCTGGGATTAATCCAAACAATTCCTTAGAGCACTCCCCATGGTATGTTATTAATGTATCATTTCGTATATTATCGTATCTGCGTAGTGTGACACGCTTTAATTTCTTTACTCATGTGCTTTAAGAGTATGTACCTACCCTTAACCGACGAGCATGTATGCGTAGCTATACGGATGTTACGGAGGCGAGATAAGTGTGTCAGGATCGTGCTAAATGGAAGTTCATAGTCTCTGCTTACCCCTCTGGGTGACAGGCGTGAATGTTTATGTTATGGTGTCATCACTGCCCACTTTCCTATTTACGTATCAACTCGGCGCGTAATATTTTTAAATAATTATTCGATACATTTTGTATTTGATATGATAGATATATTATGTCGATATGAGCTGGATATACATTATTTTACAAGGCCACTAGTATTTTCAAACCTGTCACGAACTCAACAATTTATGTAATGAAATGGAAATCTAACTAACCAACACACAGATATAATTTTCTAGATCGTGTATATAAATTTTAATCTTTGATCTAGTGCCCGTGCAGTGGCGGTGTAAGAACATCCACTATCCG